CCGGAACCATTGGCGAGTGAGCCGTTCGAACCATCGCCGATATTGGTTGAAGGTTACGATGCCCCTGACTTAACTGCTCGCCCAATCCACTCGGCCAATCAACTCGGTCGGCCAATCAATATCCCTATGTTGTTATTTACTGTCTCACAAAATTTTGGAAAATCCTAAAACACCTAATATATAAGTCAGAACTCATTATCAACTACCAAATCCCCTTTTCAGTTAATTATTTACTCATCGTTTATTCTTGACATCCTTAATAAATTGATTGCTTGGCAATGTTCTATCAGAGAAACTATGAACATGAATATCTTCACGATACCTTGAATATGCAAAATATTCAACATTTCAAATTTGTATTTACAGACGATATGGCATCGATATTAGGCCTAATTGTACATAATCTGTAACATCAATCTCTCTATATTCAGCAACATGTGTTTTATTGGATTGTGACCGAATCAGCTAAGACTAGACACTTGTTATCAAAAACGAAATTCTTCAAAATCAGCTAAAATTCCCTTGTATTGACCCTCTATACTGCATGTTGTACTGAAAGTATTTGTTAACTATTTTCACAATATTTGCATCAATTATTAGATATTGACCTCTGGATTACAAAGACCAATAATTTTGTTATATTATATATATATATATATATATATATATATATTATATATATATATATATATGTGTGAATCATCAAAGAAAGGTAAATACAGTTTCGAATAAGGGACATATGGTACATCGTGTACCATAGCTCTTAACGAATGTTGTCCATTAAAAAAAATACATTGTGTAATATAAAATACCTCCGACGGGATTCGAATCTGCAACTTTGTCATAACCATTAGACCTGTCTCTTATACACATCTAGATGTGTATAAGAGACAGCGTGAATGCCTTTTCCTCATGGACGAGGATTTATCGCTCAATTTGTTCTGTCTCTTATACACATCTAGATGTGTATAAGAGACAGTGATTGAACAGAGAAGATAAAGACGGATATTGGTCATAAGCATTGAAATACTTTCATAAAGAAGATGTTCATCCATATCCGTGGATGTAAAAGTCTCCATAATATTATATACCTTACCAACCAAGACCACCTCTAAATAAAAACCACCTTTCTGCTGCCCCAAATGTATGTATGAACAAAGCTGCTAAATACCATGACAAACCCAGTCCCAAAAGTGTTGAATATTAAATGGAAAGTGCAACAAAGCGGTCAGTGGAAGAACTGAATCACATATTCATAATTATTCAGACCTGCAGTAATGCAGATTATCAATGATAAATGTGACGATGACTGATTCCACTATTTACTAAGCACATTCTCACCTTAGCAATGATAACAGTAGTTCGAAATGTCGATAGTAAATTCCCGAATATCGTCTCTATTCATAAATTTGTTCGCTACATTAAAATATACATACCGTACAGGTTGCTGGAACTTCACCAACATAAGGAAGTGTTGAAAACTTCTAAAAGTAATTAACCTTTCTCAGTTGCATGCGTTTCAGAAAAGAAAAAGAGAAGTAGATACAAGTACAATTTAGGTAGAAGTTACGGGTCATGACGTGTTGTTCACCGTAACCATTTTGGATTACAGAAACAATTTCACCAAAACTAGGGACTTCACCACGTCATAGATTATTTTTTATGAAGCATGTAATGGACATGATATCATGTGATCATACTTGTTCGAAGTTAGGCCTGTGAATTGATAGCTTATCTACTACACAATCGTAGTATCATAGGCAATAGGCATTGTCTAATAGGAGCTACTTATCAAATAGGAAATAAATTGTTACCCTGCAATGTGAAGTTTTTACTCATGGGTCTCATATGTGAGCACATAAAGGAAGTGATCTTGAATTAACCTAATTTAACTTTCATAAAATTGAACCACTAAAAGTTTAAGTATCGAAATTATTTAAATTATCGTAATAAAATAAAAATAAAACTGAAATAAATTTTTGTAGTATAATGGTAAATCTTGGCACTCAAGTAATCACCAGTAGTGAATTTGTCAACGGTTCCCGTCTGAAGAAGACGGCTACTACAAAAGTAACAGTAATATACCCATTGTTACTATACATTACAATATGTCTTCATTCATCCCGTATGGGGTAATTCGGAAAAAGGATCGAGATTACATACCTAAAAATGGTGAAAAAGGTTGAAAACTTTACGCAAAGATACAATACAATCACTCGCAATTTTAATTTGTTATTCTAAATGTCGAGTGGCCACTAATACGAACAAATTTCTTTTCCGGTTCTGCAAGCAGGACAACGAAATGTTGACCATGAGGCAAAAGCTCGAAGTCACTGAACAAAGCATGAGTTACGTTTTGCAAAATTCTCTTACTTTCTTTTCTAAAATTTTTGCTTGTAACAAAAACAAGATAAGCTGCATAATTTACCACCCATTAATTTGGAACTTCAGTTAACGATTTTTTTTTTTTGTAATTTCTTTAACCGTAATTCCACTATGAAACCAACAGATAAAGGAAACGGTCAAAACACTCTCAATAAAAGAATTGTAAAATATTTTAAGAATAACTTTATCAAGAGATTAAAATGGTTCAGCTTCGTTATTTTGATCACCAGCCGAGATTGTCCTCAAAGATTGTTCCTAAATATTTAAATTAATACTTGGCCAAATGACGAAAAAATAATATAAAAAGGTTCATTTGCAAACGTTTAATTTTATTTATAAGAAAGTATTTGTTTTATTTATCTGTAATATATTATTTCGTTTTTAAATTCTTCATAATTTGAAAGGTTTATATATTTTGTGTTTCACATGAATTCTTATGGAAAATAGCAGAGTGATCGTATTCTGTATAAGTAACTGTATATTATTAAGTGTCGACTACTTGACACTTGTAATCAAGACATTCTAAGTTAATATCACTCTTAGATTCCGGACACTAATAAATGGTTTATCTGCTAGTGTGATATTTTATAGGCCTACATTTCATCTGATCCAAAGTAAGGCAATTGTTGAACTGCAATTTAGAAACTCGGTCTCCTTCCAATTCAGCTACACTTTATTAGATAACAACGACTCTCGAATATTATTACCTATTGGGACAAAGTCTGAAGCTGTCTCTTATACACATCTAGATGTGTATAAGAGACAGAAGTATGATTGAACAGAGAAGATAAAGACGGATATTGGTCATAAGCATTGAAATACTTTCATAAAGAAGATGTTCATCCATATCCGTGGATGTAAAAGTCTCCATAATATTATATACCTTACCAACCAAGACCACCTCTAAATAAAAACCACCTTTCTGCTGCCCCAAATGTATGTATGAACAAAGCTGCTAAATACCATGACAAACCCAGTCCCAAAAGTGTTGAATATTAAATGGAAAGTGCAACAAAGCGGTCAGTGGAAGAACTGAATCACATATTCATAATTATTCAGACCTGCAGTAATGCAGATTATCAATGATAAATGTGACGATGACTGATTCCACTATTTACTAAGCACATTCTCACCTTAGCAATGATAACAGTAGTTCGAAATGTCGATAGTAAATTCCCGAATATCGTCTCTATTCATAAATTTGTTCGCTACATTAAAATATACATACCGTACAGGTTGCTGGAACTTCACCAACATAAGGAAGTGTTGAAAACTTCTAAAAGTAATTAACCTTTCTCAGTTGCATGCGTTTCAGAAAAGAAAAAGAGAAGTAGATACAAGTACAATTTAGGTAGAAGTTACGGGTCATGACGTGTTGTTCACCGTAACCATTTTGGATTACAGAAACAATTTCACCAAAACTAGGGACTTCACCACGTCATAGATTATTTTTTATGAAGCATGTAATGGACATGATATCATGTGATCATACTTGTTCGAAGTTAGGCCTGTGAATTGATAGCTTATCTACTACACAATCGTAGTATCATAGGCAATAGGCATTGTCTAATAGGAGCTACTTATCAAATAGGAAATAAATTGTTACCCTGCAATGTGAAGTTTTTACTCATGGGTCTCATATGTGAATGTGTATAAGAGACAGCACCATGACACTGCCAAAATTTGGCCCCATTTGCGTAGCTTCTATCATGGAGGAATAAGTTTAAATTGCACCATGCTTCAATGAAGTTAATTGAAGTGGCAAATAAAAAGAGGCTCAGTGACCGCTCGTTAAAGAGCCGCTGTGTTATATGCAATTGTTAGTAGAACTGGAATTTTGTTTGTTGTTTTGATAGTACTCAGTGGTTTAATCGATTCGGGCATAGATGTACTTTGTTGTATCAATTTATGATTGTCTGCATATAGATATGCCTTTTGTCTACAGTAGGCCTGCTATGCCAAAAAAAAAACTTGAAGCTGCGACAAGATCATTTTGAATGTTTTTATTATTTGAGGTTTAATAATCGTATCCCAAGTCACAAATGTGGTTCGTGCTCTCATACCTGGCTAATTAATAAAATGTAATTTAACGTAACGTAATGATAATAATAATAATAATAATAATAATAATAATAATAATAATAATAATAATAATAATAATAATAATAATAATAATAATAACAATAATAATAATAGGCCTAGTCATCATCACCATCATCATCATCATAATGATACTAACATTTATAATAATAATTATAATCAATAATTATATTAATAATAATAATAATAATAATAATAATAATAATTAATAATAATAATAATAATAATCATAATCATAATGATATTAAAAATTATAATAATTATAATCAATAAAATAACAATAATAATAATAATAATAATAATCATAATAATAATAATCATAATAAATAATAATAATTATAATAGTAATAGTAATAGCCTAAATACAGGCCTAGTATGAAACATTCCAACTCTAATAGTATGTTATTATTTTTTTATGTGTTAGATCCTCTTCAGTTTGTAAAAAATTGCAAAATGTCATTACGTCATAGAATATGTAATGTTGTTATGATTTAGGGGTTAAAGTTCATTAGAAATATGGCAGGCTCAAAGGAGGAAAATGAAGACGCAACATCATCAAAAGAAAACAAAGATTTAACGCAAGACACAGTCAATCCGAAGCAGCATGAAAGGTTGTATGAATGTATAAGATGTCTTTGATCATAAATAATGTTGAATAACGGCCGTTGCTTTTGTATTTTTGTGTGTTTTGGAGAGGCTAATCTAGGCCAAGGACGAGTACTACCACTAGTCTAGCTACTGTGAAGTAGCGCAAACAAAGCGTTAGACGGGGCCTACGTACGTAGGAAGTGTGTATGAAAGAGTAGGGCTAGGGCTAGCTTAGTCAAATTTAGTGTAGGTCTAGAGGAACTAGCTCTAATCTGTGCATAAGCATGCTAAACAAAATAAAATCATATTATGTTTACATTTCTTTTATGGGTGGCTGTGTTCTTTTTTTTTTAGCCCTAGGGCTAGGCCTAGGTTAGGCCTAGCCCTAGGCTATCTCTCTCTGTTAGCTAGAGACAAAAAAAATTGAAATGTCCCAAATATTTTTTTGTTTATTTTTAATAGAAAGACATAACTGAATGAAGCATTTTAAAACAAAAATTATGTAAATCGGACAAATATTAGCGGAGATATTGCTATTTTAAATATGTTTTTTGCTGGAGTTAATTCCTAATTGTTTTTATTATTATACAAGAAGTGTGTCCCTTACAGTAATATGTAGCATTTTAGGCCATGTTGAAATAATACTTGACAATTACTAACGATTATAATTTAGTATTTTAGTATATTTATATTCGATTTAATAATTTTTATCAACTTATAGATTCTACGTATAATAAATTATATTGAATCGCATAACTCTAGGCCTAATTGCAGGCCTCAGACAACACGGTGTCAACATCGCGTGTAGCCGCCGCAAATTAATGAGGGCGCCCTCTATTCGTACGAGCCGTGCCTAACTGCGGTACGTGATAAGACAATAGAATTTTATGCCATCTATTTCAATTAATATGCACACAAATATTATTTAAAACTTACTTATCTTTATAGTTTAAAAACTGAAGAAAACAAACATGTTAACCAAAAAACTAATGAAGGTATCCTTTTATTATTGAAAATCGACGAAACATTGGTTGTACTAAAAAAAACTTCTACTAAGTCAATTCGCGCGCTTAAAAAGCCAATAACTTGGTCCAGAAATCATTTCTGGAGTGTTATCTGGAAGTAATTCGGTTAAATTGTTGTATACTTCCGCGAAATACCCAATTAATACATTGGATATCCTATCTCCGTTGGGGCACTATTTTCTATCGCGATGTTTGTATTGCCAATTTATAGCGCCCTCTATCGGTTTTGTATACTATCTCTGTCTGGCTAGTCATTCAGAAGACCTTTTTACCCAGCACAGATCAAGTTGTTCTCATCATGATACAGTAATATTGGTTGAGATAGAGAATAGGGCCTAGGACAGGAATTTTAAGTAGAGAAATGAAGGGTTTGTTAACTTCAAAGGCTGGATATGGTGTAGGCTAGTCTAGGCCTCTGTGCGTGACTTTAAACAAAATTTGACTTACTTAGCCCATCCGTAGTATTAGTATTTTTTAATTGCGCTGGGATACATCAAGCTTCAAATTTCTATCAAAATAGGTGCACATAATCGCAACTATTGCATAATACATTGAGATAGGCCGAGACCTAATTTTCGACAAAACCTGCGCGGAAATTGGCCTTTTTACAGTGTAAATTTCGTTCGAAGTGATGGATGTTATGTGACAATATCCCAAACACCCAGAGAAATAGTCCAATACCGGTAAAGTCAGGGACCAGAAATAATATCTGTATGCCCTGAATTCTTAGTGGTCCCTGGCTTTAAGTACTGTAGGCTGACTAACACTCATTGCTGATTAAATACCCTAATTAGTGCGACTGCCTCACACACTTTTGACTACGCCACACACCAAGCTGACCATCAGTGAACACAGTATGATTACTGTCTTAACTAGCAGTCTTTTTAGGTTAACCAATAAATTGAGTGGCTGTATGCTCGTTTTTTTTTAGGGATTCGGAACAAGAGAAGGAAGAGGTTCATGAAACCAAATTGTATTTTAACGTAAGTGATAATAAATGGCCAATTATCTATTCCCCTGAGTACAACATTGGCTTTCTCGGCCTGGAGAAGCTTCACCCATTTGATTCTGGCAAATGGGGGAAAGTCTTTGGATTTCTAAAAGGTAAGCATTCAAGTTACTGGCTGTACTGTAATTCTGTAAGGCGCATGTAATTTGTTTCAATGTATTTTAATTTTGTAACCGATCTGCTTTCTGTTATTCCATTGGTATTCTTTAAAAACGACACACTATCTGTCAGTTTCAGCCCTGATGTAAATAGTGAATTTTTAATAAATAATAATCTAAAAATTTAAAGTATAATTTAATATAATGACAATCCTATTACTATATTGTTATTTTTAAAAGGAACCTGGATTCAATATGTTACTGTATTTGATGTCCTATTTTTTTTATGATGATCCAGAAATTTTATAGTGAAATGTTCACTTACTAAACATCTTGTAAAGTGATCATTGCACTATGAATTAATTAAAAATTTAAATGGCTTTTACATCTTATACTATTTAATAATTTGCATCATGCGACTCCTTATTTTATTTTAAGTTGAAGAATAAAGTGAGGAGTCGTATGATGTAGATTATAAGGAGTAATGTTATATAGCTACTTGGTATGTTATTCCATGGTATGAGCAATTATACAAATCTCTTTCTATTTAGTTAAGAATTTCATTTTATATTTTTGTTGAATTTGATAATATGTTGTTTATCTTTGGATGCACCGTTGACGTTAAATATTGTCTAACGTATGCCACTGTTATAAAATTGTTATCTAATAAATATTGTATTGTAAATTCTTGTACAATTTTTCAAAAGTGTATAAAACAATTTTTCTTAAAGGATTTCTTACTATATTGCTTTACAAGTTTAAAAAAAAAAATCAAATCTATCCTAAAAATTAAGCATTTCTTTAAAGATATTTAAATTAAGTTATTATTACGGCCTTGTGGAAGAAAACGTCGTTGGTTAACGAATGTACTGTACATGGTATTAAATTATTTATTCTAAACAATTCGGAGAAAACAAATCAAATTCACAGAATATGTTATGAAATGTTGTACACTTTATCTTTGATATGTAATGAGTTTTTGTCTGTTTCTGTATAAAAGACCAATTTGTGCCTGCATTGCTTTTAGAGCTAAAAGTTAGATGAAAAAAATATATATATAAAAAAACAATAAAGTTACTATTGATATTTTCCCTTTGTTAATGTCTCATTATCTCATATTCTTCATGGGCCTTCTAATATTAGATAGATAGATAGAAATCTTCCTTTATTCTGGATACTTTTAATCAACTTTTACATTGTTCTTCCTTAAGGTCAAGTTAATAGTTAAAACATTAAAATAGGAAATGAAAGACAATTTGGTAAACACGAGCAAAATTTGGTATACACAAGAAGCAAAATGAAAATGTAATATTAAATCAAATTTTTGATTTATTTATTTTAGATGCGGGAATGTTAAGTGATGAAAACACGGTGCGACCTGTAGAACCCTCTGAAAAGGATTTGCGGGTTGCTCATACCAAGCGGTACCTTAAAAGTCTACGAGTGAGTTCATATTTATTGCTTTGATTGATTTTTCATTGTATACAGAAACTACTAGCCTTAAATACCATAAATGTAAACAGAGAGGTAAATCATAGTTTCTACGTTTAAAGACACTGCATCGGCTGACATTTGACTGTCAAAAGCTGTCAATGATAATCATTTTTGCTTTACGTGAGCCCTAATGACGTCTTCTAGTGTTGGTGGCAATCTTAAAACGATCCGTTGCACACGCCTAGTTGTGTAGACTTCTTCGTGAACACAGAATTAGGTTATCGGAATGCAATTTAAAATGATCCAAGTCAACTTCCGATGAGTCACAAATCAAAACATTTTATTTTTATTTTTAGACTTTTTACAAAAGTCTTAAATTTTCAGATTGGCCATTTGAAGGGTAATAATCAATGGCATACCTGTACCTAGGAGACTTGAAATGGGGGAGGGGAAGGGGTGTTGAATGGAGGATGATGCGAAGTTGGAGTTGGTGGGGAGGTGTGCTCGATAATTAAGTGAGTGAAGCTAGTTCGCAAAATAAGGTGATTTTTAACTACTTGAACGTGATTGTTTTGCTTCCAAAATTTTCAATGCAGGAGTGACTTATGTACCTCTTGATACACCACTGCTCCTAAATAAAGATGATATTTTTTTTTAGAAAATGTATGCCTCCATCAGGATTCAAACCCAAGTGATATATATACCCAGGACCCCTTAGGCCAAGGATGTATAACCTTTGACCTCATAACAAGAGTATCCACACACAGGCTATTTTTTTTAATTAGTCATCTGTAGTAGTAAATGTAAGTGGTCCGCCAAAAGTTGAATGGTCTGTTGTGTATAGCCCATAAAACCATGAAAAACATACTATTTTAATTTGACATTCCTTTCACACAGATGTGATATGCAAATTATTGCAATATTGGATTTAGTTTATTGGCATTGGGTTTTGTTCCCAACCTGAAGTTTTACTTGGGTCTTGAAATAAGCAGCTCGGTCAGTCTTGCGTGCACTCTTTGACGTTTCCGCTTGGGTGATGTTCACACCCAACAGATTAAAGATTGAAATCCTGGCACCACTCCTTGGTCCATAGCAGAACTTGTTTCTTATAATGTATTCTATCTGTGTGGCATAACCACTGGCATCAGTGAGTTGGTGACGAGCCCCAGTGCAAGGTAATTGCCGGACCTTAAAAGGCACCTGATTGGACACAGAGACAGGGCCTTGGTGGAGTTTACTTCTAGCGAAACTCTTAATGCTCGTACATTCTAAAATTTGCATTGTCACGAGCAAAATATTTATAAAAATATTCAAAAACATTTTGGATATTAACAACAATAGAACAATTAATGACCTGATTTCAGTGAAGTAAAACGTGTTCATGATGCATGATGACCCGACGTGATTCAAAAACGTGCTCAATATAGTTGAACTTTAAAATAGGCTTAGGTCTTTCCCAAACAAAAACGTGCATGCCGATATTTCAATTGCTTTTAATAGAAATATGCTTTTAAAAAGTATTTTAGTGCATCGTACCGTGGTAGGAAACATACGTATACCTAATTGAAGAAAATAACCTTACGTATACTTCATTCTACGGTACGATGCGCTAAAATACTTTTTGTAAACATACGGTATTTCTAAAGCAATTAAAAATATTGGCACGCGCATTATTAAAATAGTATTGTGTTTGATTAAACTATATTGTGCAGGTTTTTGAATCACTTCAGGTTGTCATACTTCATTAATGCCTACGTTTTACTTCACTGCAATCAGGTCATTGATTGTACTAATGTTTATTATACTTAGAGACTCACAAAATTCCCAATAGTCCCTAAACGATAAAAATATATACTACTTTTGACTACATTTTGTTCTTAATATCCTTGAATATGTTTTCGAATATTTTATAGATATTTATGCTCATAACAATGCTGTATCTGTTTAAAGCAATACTAGAATGAAGAGCATTAACATTTTCGCCTCAGTAGACCCCACCAAGGCTCTATCTTTGGGTCCGATCAGTTGCGTTCTAGGGCCTGGCAATTACCCTGCACTGGGGCATGTCACCACTTTGCTACGCTGCTGGTACTGAAAGTAGTGCACTGTAATAATGAGTTGGTAGTCAGGTTTAATACTAACAAGAATATTTATTGCACAAAATTTAGACCCCCCTCCTGATATAATGGCTTTGAACATATGTTTAGTTAGTAGCTTAAGCTTTGAACATATGTTTAGTTAGTAGCTTAAATTTCTTTGTTGTATAATAGTGTTTCAGGTGCTTTATTGAAAATTCTTTAATGTTTAGAGTAAACAATCAAAATAATGACCATTCTGACATTCCTTAATCTATTTTGGTACCAACAATGTATTGTATACTATTAACCACAAGTCATTAATTTTCAAAATGCAGGAAACCGCAAATTAGTACAATTACCAGGATCCTTAGAGCACGTTCGACGCACTGTTCAAGTACAATAGCCCAGTCGTAAACATTCCCTATCGCCCAGACTTACTGTATTGTGGAACATTACTATACGTCTATTCATATATGAATATATAGGTAGCTTCTTGGTTATACTTAGTTTTGTATACAATGGACCTGTAGCTTTGTGGTTAAGGTGCCTGTCTTCCTATTCCAGAGGGCCGGGTTCAAATCCTGTCAAGGTTGATTTTTTGTTTTTACATGCTTTATAACACTATGTACTTTCAATGCTTCACAAATTTTAAGACTTAAAGTGCATCGCACCATTTATTTCAAAATGGAACAAAAATATGCTGACCTAGTTTTTGGAACTGGTTACAGTTGGTAAAAAATAAATACAATTTTTGGCTTTTAATATTACACTGACTAATGCCAAAATTTGAATTGATAAAAGAAGAAGCATTTTTTCGCTTTTTTGAAAACATGCAGAAGAGAAGTTAATTTTTGTATTTACAGTACTTGTCCAAACACAGTGTGTGTATAATTTCCGTTCATGTTTGATTTTCACTTTAATTTACTTGTTACCTGTGTTTAGTAGAGTAGCGCTCAGTGGTGTATTGCTGGAGCCACAGGCCCTGTACTGTCGGTGGCTTTCTGAGACCGGGTGCCCTTTTTGGGACCCGGGCGCTAATTTTAGATGCTTGTTTTTTTTTTTCATTTTCGTTGTATTCTAAATGTTTTAAATGACAAGATAAATAATAGTATTACTTGGCAGATCCAGGAATTTGAAATAGAGGGGAGCCATGGAGTACCTGGTACTTTCACAGATGGAATGTCGATACATCTCAGTGACACAGGCTGAGGTATTGAACATTTTTGATTATGGCACCTCTAGATTGCCGGAATTGACACCCCCAGAATACACAACTTAATCTGCCACTGGAGATAATACCGTAAAACCTCGAATTGAAGCCCTGGGCTTCTTCTTTTCTTTGCCAACTTTGGATGAGCTTCTTTTTGAGATGGGCTCCTTTTCAAGATGGGCTTCTTTTTGAGACTACTTTTGCAAAGTAAAAAGGAGGTGGGGGGGGGGCAGCTTTTCAAAATGAATGCTGTAAATTTTGTGAATTTGTACTGTAAGACAATAAATAAGGCCACTGTAACATCAATCTGTATCATGGAGTATATTTAACTGGCATTAAATCACCCAAATTACTTAAAAAAAAAAAACAAAGCTTGTACTTAATTTATTTTGTTTTCTGAAATTCATGTACAGTGTATGTGACTGTAATATCTTGAAAAGAAGCCCATGCTATCTTGAAAAGAAGCCCATGGGTTTGTTTTTGAGATAGGCTTCTTTTCGAGGCTAATTTTTCAAACTAAAAAGGTGGGAGGGGGGGGCTTCAGTTCGAGATAGGCTTCATCTCAAGATTAAGCCCAGTGGGCTTCAAATCGAGGTTTTACAGTATGATATATATATACTACAATCAATGTCGGAGACACATGTTGTTATGTACAGAATCAACAAAGCTCTTTTGGGTCAGTCTGCTAGACCGCCCCCCCCCCACCATCCCCATGGGTTGGTGGAGGGGGGGGGGTCTGCGGACCGCTACACAGGAGCACATAATTGTTACACCACTGAGTAGTACCATATCCACAACCACTAGCACTATTATTACCCAGTAATCTTAGGGGTATTCTCTTCTTTAACGTTTAACCTTTTTTGTTTCTACAGGATAATCTAACAGACGGCTTGCCTGAGGTACAAATATCTTTAATTTCCATCCATTAATGCATGCTGCTCCCAACCAGTCTTGTGCCTTATTTTTTGTGTGCATGTTTATGTAAAAAAAAATGTTTTTTTATGTTTTGTTTAATTCAGATTTTGTCATTAAAATGTCTTGGTGTACATGTAGTTGACATGTTTTTAAAGATATACTGTCTCTGGTGGTAACATTTGGATTAAGCCCTTCAACATTTCAATTACTATTGAACTGTAATTTCCTCGTTTATATTCAAAATTACAAATGCCAACTTTCAAGAGGCAAGTTTGAAAAATAACATTTTCACTGATCAACAGACTTTTAAACCACGGATATAATTTATTGGATTACTAGACAATTTATGGTCTAAGCAGTAAATAGAGTGACACTATGTTTAAGTAAAAAGCTAAATAACTGAAGTTAAACTAACATGAAAAAACTTTTAAGTTTTAGCAATTTAAATTAAGTATCCTTTAGTTCAACTTAACTATTATAATGTTTAATTATATTTTTAAATATAATCTAAATGTAGTTTACCATTTAACAGGCACTTTTATGGTTTAAATTCCAAGTCATAAAAAAAAAAATGTTGCAACATTGACAAGATACCCAGGGGGATCCAGGAGAATTTTTGCAGATGGGTGTCCAGATTACATCAGCCCCACCACATGGATAGGGGTCGGGTATGAAATTTTATGGCACCTCTAGAAGGCTTGAATTGACACGCTCCTCTCAGACTTAAATTTCAAAGTAATTTTCTGTATCACCATTTTTTTTTTTTTTTTTTTTTTTCAAATTTTCATTGAATCCACCTCTGCCAGCTGCATAAATGAAACACTGCTCTGAAGAATTTGGGAGGCTGCATATTTTCCATGACATGAATAGTGTACCCAATTACCAGGGATAATTATATATTTAATATAATAAAATAATCATACTGGTTATTAATTTGTTGCTTATTAAAATTTGTATGTACTTACTGTTTAAAATTCTGGTCAAACCGCACTGCAAAGTGCAAGACATGTAACGGTTACTGTGCCTACAACGGAACACCTTAGCTTGTGGACCATGTGACAAATCAGGGATAAAAAATTCACTTCATGAAAAGGAAAGAAATGCAATATTTAAAAGCAAGACTTTTTGTACCTTGTTTCGCAAATTTGTTTTTTTTTTAAGATCATCAGTGGATGGCGGAGAAAAAATTAAAGCCAAATTTTTTTTTCTTATTTAGCAAATAATTTTGCCAAAAATATCCAGAGGGGAAAATAAAAATAATATTTTATTGTTGAAAAAAAAAATAAAAACCAAATTTTGTTTTCTTATTTAGCAAAGAGTTTTGCCAAAAATATCCAGAGGGGATAATAAAAATAATATTTTATTGTTGAAAAAAAAATATAAAAGCCAAATTTTGTTTTCTTATTTAGCAAATAATTTTGCCAAAAATATCCAGAGGGGAAAATAAAAATAACATTTTATTGGTGAATGTAAACAGTTTAGTAGTGGAATGGATAAATAAATGCTTTAAGTTTATATAATTAGGAAAAAATACATGTTATTTTTGGGGTTTCAAGGCAGCAGAGGGCGTACTAAAAATAAAGATTTTTCGTGTCGGCGGGTGCGCTAAGTTGCCAAAAATTAAATGTTATTTTGATTCGAAATCATCATCATTGGCAGGTTGTGGGTTCACTAAACAACATACCGTATACAAAAAAATCTTGTCTGAATTGAAAAATTTATGTAATCTGTGGAGATCCATCTACTTATAGTATGGGTACCTTTTTGGTTTTGAATAAAATTGTTTGGTGCTGAATTTATGTATAAGTGTGGTGGGAGAGGCTGTTGTGTATTGTTTATTCAGTATTAATATGTTATATCATAGAGTTTGTGGAATGTAATACAACACATTAACATCTCACATAATATAATTATTCATTATTACACTGTAACTAACATAATAATCCTAATCTTAAATAAAGAAGATAATCAGAATCATTAATATTTATTTTTATTATAACAGTGAATTCCAAATTGCAGTGGTGGTTTCAAGGGTGCTCCCTCCAACCCCCCCCCCCCCATAATTATTTCAAAATTATAAAAAGAAATGAAGAACAAAAAAAAAAAAATGGTATAGATATTCAAATTTAAGTCTGGGAGTGCTCTTTCCAGCCATCTTCAGGTGCCATAATCATAAATTTTCTTATCTCAGTGGGGCTGAGGTACTGTAGTTTAGGGCTTGGATCCACCACTGAATTGACAGCTTGGTTGAAAAATTGATTTGTTGATTGGTAATTTGATTGAATTATCTTATTTTTATGGTAATTAACGTTTGGATTTCCTAGAGAAAAAAAAGGTAAATTTACTTTGATCTGTGTCTCATTGGAAGTTGACAATTTAATAAACCAATTGGATTTTGGAAAGTTTTTTAGATTTTCCCACGGGAGAAAGTATTATCGTTAAAAAAATAGAAAAGCAAAGAAAAAAGTTTTAAGCTTTGTCACAGCTCAATTTGCAACTCAGAATCTTTTGCTCATAAAAAACATGTGTCATCACGTATTATAATTTACAACCTGATCAATTGCTTATTCACTTTCAAGTGAGAACACCCCTCAAAAAGAAAATGGAACAGTTGGCTTCATGCATGAACACCTTAGTAGTCAATGACACATCCTCATTCTCTTTTCAATTTGAAATAATATAGAAACAACAGATGTCTTTAAGTTAAGTGGAAGAAAATATGGCCCATCGGTTGCGACTGTACGTTTCAACACTGGTGGCTCCCTTTGTATTTGCTTGTGTCCTTTTGCAAATCATGCTCTCCCCACGCTATCAAGAGAACGGCCGTATTCGACAGGTTTCTCGTTAAACCACGCCTGCCTGCTCATTGGTAAAATCCTACTTAGAAAATGACCAGACGAATAAAAACTGGTAAATACGCGGCAAAATATTATGTCTGTGTAGTTACTGTGATACATGCTAATGTAATCAAGGTTGCTTCAGCTTGTGACAGTATGGATTTTTCGTATAAAAGTGTTTTCATGCAGTTTTTGAATTCTGTTTAGTCTACAATTATTTTTTTGTGGGTAAATAATAATTATTTTTTGAAATTTAATCTAAATTATATAAAACGCAAATGTTTTTGTTAAACTGACCAATTGGCCATGTTTGTTTTGGTCACATGAATAATTTATTGCAAAAATGCACTATGGTTTACGTTAATTTTCATTTTCAATTAACTTTGTTACGAACGAGCCAAATGAAAATAATACTCAACGAAATATCGTTGTCAACTAAACAAACCTGTCGAATACAGCCAATATATAAGCATGTACCTGATAGGCTTAAATTTCATTTGCTAGCTAATAAAATATTGGAATACTACGATGGGCTCTTAACAGCTCATTCCCCTTCATTCATTAATGAATACTATACTACATTTACATTTCCCTCGACAGCTGTGTATGTGCTCTATTGCGGTTGCTGCAATGGCCGACGTAATTATGTAATGCGCCTAGAGATCAAACAGCAATTGATAATACACAATATACTGTAATAATACCATATTACCTTCAAATTTTGGAATCTTTTTATGATGTTAATTATTTCGAAATGTTTAACCTTGACTTTTGTATTTACAGTAGATGTTCCTTTAATCACCTGAAGTAGAATGTTTATTAATAACATGACAATACCTGTATATGTATCATCTATGTTTGTACCATTGCATTTCAATGTTTATATTATACATATTTTCTCATATGCTGTAAATTAGACTAAGTTCAAACTTAAGAGATATGCCAGGCGTATCTAATACCAGGTATACGTTAATCCACGGTGTAACTAGCGAGATATCCAGACTGGGCGATTAAATGTAATATTTGTTTTCGTATTTGCACATTTTATTTCCTGTTTGCATCTAGGATATTGTGATTGGTCAAATTCTTGCCGAGTTCAAAGTCATGGATGCATTACTGTCGTAACTCAGTGGCGTACAGTATGCTACTATGCCAGTGATTGCGCGTTAATACTCGCGTTCGCTATGCAGCGTACAAGTTAAAACCACTCGATTAACGTTACGCCAGCATAACTCGTGTCTGAGCATAGTGCTAAAGTCAGACTCCGGAGGAAAAAAATGTTTTGATATGTTGTAGAACTGATTTTTCTAAGACAGAAAAAAGTTGTTTGACGAAAAACTGGGGAACGGTGAATGAGATACAGATTTTTTAATATTTAAAAAGTGGGGGAATAAGGTGTAAAAATGGGCAGTTACGCCCCTTTTTCCCCCAGTTTTTAAATATAAAAAAATCTGTATCTCATTCACCGTTCCCCAGTTTTTCGTCAAACAACTTTTTTCTGTCTTAGAAAAATCAGTTCTACAACATATCAAAACATTTTTTTCCTCGGGAGCCTGACTTTAAGAGTTCATCATCATCGTCATCATTGTTTTCTATGCTAGAAGTCATTCAACATAGCGTATTTTTTTTCTTTTTGACTTTAGTGGAGTGTCAATGTAGCCAGTATTACAGAGGTTCCACCCGTTGCTATGCTACCTAATTTTCTTGTACAAAGAAAGGTGTTGCGTCCTTGTCGTCTACAGACTGGTGGTACCATTTTGGTAAGATTTTTTATGTTAAACTAGAAAAAATCCTTTGAGATTTGGAAGAAATTCAAGAAACAGAGACCCAAAGGAGATATTAATAGTGCATGAGAAAATTGACTAAACTTGAGATGATGTGACAAATGAGTCTTATGTTATTTTAATGTATACACGAAAATGTATCTGAAGTGATATTTTGACAAAAAAATTTTTTCAAATTTTTCTGATAAAAAGTATATATATATATAACAGTATATATATTTCATAGTAGCAAAAGTTATGAATTAAGTTACCTTGAAGATAAACATGTTTTGAGGCACATTTTCTAAAGCTCCTTTTCAGAATTGATAGCAAAACCAACACAACATTTATCAGTTGTTTATCTTTAAAAGGCGATTTTCTCTTAAAGTATGTTTCTAGACATCTAATCTTAAAAATGATATTACTCCAGTTTTACCCAACCTAAGAATATGATTCATAGACCAAAATAAAGCTTGTATAGTGAGCTGTTTAATTAATTTTTCATGTCTTGTATCGCAAGACTCATTTTGTCATGACAGCTCTCAAATGCCCTCTAGGTCCGAACGCAATTCTCTTGATGCACTAATGACTCAATGTAAGTGCACTTAATAATTTATAATGGGATTATTTTTTTTTGTAGGCTGGTAAACTAGCTATGGAACGCGGATGGGCAATCAATGTAGGAGGAGGCTTCCATCATAGCTCAGGGGACCGTGGGGGAGGCTTCTGTGCCTATGCAGATATTACACTAACCATCAAGGTAACATGTAAATTTCTTAATTTATGGGTTGCAAGTTTTTTTTTTTTTTTGGAGTGGGAACATGCACACCCTCAATATGTCTGTGGGTTGTGAGGTGCTTAAGTATGTGGGGTGCATCGCTTCATATCTGCAAAAGGTGCTTTTTATGTTATTACCAGATTGATTGGATATACGCCATTGGTTGGTCTTATAAAATAATATCGTAATATGGGTTGGAGGCAATTTTTTTTACTCTCTCTTGTGGGAATTGTTTTTATTCATTTAAACCTAAAGAGTTACACCTGTGATTGTTTAGTAAAAGCATATAAATACAGTGATTGCAAGAATGGTTTTTGAAGATTTATTTTCACATAAATAAATAATTTTTTTCTTTTTTTGATAGTTTTTACTGCAAAGGATGGAAGGTGTTAGCAAAGCAATGATAGTAGACCTAGATGCACACCAGGGTAACGGACACGAGCGGGATTTTATGGGGGACGACCGAGTGTACATCATGGATGCCTATAACCGCCATATATATCCTCATGATGGGTTCGCTAAACGTAGGTTTATGAATATTTATGATTTACTAAACATAGGCTTAGGAGTGATTTACTAAACAGGCTTATGAATATTCATGCTTTATAAATACTAAACATAATTTTTTTGAATATTTATGAATTACTAAACGTAGGTTTATGAATACTTATGATTTACTAAACATAGGCTTATAAATATTCATGATTTATAAATACTAAACCTAATTTTATGAATATTTCTGATTTACTAAATGTAGGTTTATGAATATTTATGATTTAGTAATATTCCAGATCTGACTTCCTGATCAACTACTGTCATAACCACTGCAAGAGATAAGAATATGAAATTGTTCCTATAGAAAATGAAAATTAAAACGCGCATTTCTACAAAAATTATGCATCAATAAATTTCAAAAAAGACTAATATCTGAGTTGAATAGTTTAGTGGTAAAGGTGCTTGCCGACTAATCCCAGGATCCTTGGTTCAATTCCTGTCACTGCAGGATTTTTCCTCTCAACCAAAAAAAACGTCCACTCTCTAGGCCTTAATAACAGACTTGTATAAAGCATCGTTCTAGCCTAAAAGTGGGGAGAGTACTTACTGTTGCTGTCCATGGAGACCACTATGTGGTTATTCTTAGATTCGAACCCATGACCTATTCTAGAGTCAAGGCACCTTACCACTCTGTCGTTTCTTAATTTTCAGGAGCTATTCATCGTAAAGTAGAATTGGAGATGTATCTTGAAGACCCATTCTACCTTGACCAAGTTAGCAGGTAAACTAAATTTTGTATAATTATTTAATGTGTAATACTGTATTACTAACATATTATTATTATTATTATTATTATTATTATTATTATTATTATTATTTATATTATTATTATTATCATAGTTTTGTTTTATAGACTGTTTTTATGCTTTGTATTTATAGTGGTGGGGAATTTCGTTTTATTCAGACAATAAAATTATCATGTACAGTATCATGTATACATACTGTACATACATATTCATTAATACAAAACGAGAATATTAAGATAAGTTTCCCATTTTATTCTATTCATATTTTTAGAAATTCTTATTGTCATCATAATCAACTATTGTTCATCCACTACAGAACAAAACTGCCTCCTAATTTGCCTGCTTCTCACTTTGCTACACCATCTCTCCACCTCTTCCTCTGTCTTCCTTTCTCTCTTCCATTTTCCCATCAATTATTAGTGCTCTCCTTATCAATTATTTGTTTGATATTACCGTATAATACATATTTAAAATCCATAATCAGGTATGACCTTCAGTATGACCTCTATAATTAAAGCCAAGTTCACACTATCAAATTTTATTTGACAAAAACCTGTGTCATGCCTAAATATGGTAATGATGATGTCATATCATGAACAAATACAGGCACATCATGACTAAAATAGGACAGTTGTTTGTCAAAGAAAATTTGATTAATCCAGACAGGTTAAAGAATTATTGTCCCTTTAAAATGATGAAAAATCATAAAAAATAATTTTTGAAATTAACTTTGCTCATTTTGTAGTAACATACATTCACTTCACTTGATCGTAGAAATTATTGAAGTTAAAAAAATATATGTACCTTGATTTTTAAGCCGGATAATTATAATAAATATAGTAAAATACTTCCAGTGAAAATTTTTATATACACTAATTTCTATGTTCAAGATGATAATTTTTATGTTACTTCAAAATCGTCAAGTTAATTTCAAAAATGATTTTTATTACTTTTTTGGTATTTTGCCTGGGACAATACATCTTTGTAAGTCATTTGCTTTCTTCCTCAAGATTTATTTTATTCTAGGTTGGAAAGTTACATTACACCGTTCTAAAATAAAATTCATAAACACATAGATATAAGTATACATATGATTTTTAGAATTTTTATTAACTTTCTCCACACACTTCTATTGTTTACATGTAGGTTGCTTAGAAATTAGTGGCAAATTGATGACTAAACATTTTGTATAAAATTCTCGGACGTGGAAAAGTTACATTACAATGTGAAAAATATAAAATACACAAACATATACAATATAAATATACATATGATTTTTAGATTATTTGTATTAATTTTCTACACACACTACTATTCTTTACATGTAGGTTACTTAGAAATTCGTGTCAAATTGATGACTAAACATTTTGTATAAAATGTCAGTATTAAGATTTGGTGTAGGAACATAGGCATGACTTAGATATTTAAAAAACAAGTATTGAGTGGTTTAAGAGAAAAGTAGGCCTACGAAAACCAACATTAACTTTATCCCTGAGATCCAGAAGTGGTTGTTTATTTTTTTACAATTACTTAAAAATAATCTGCAACAAAATTCTTTCTCAAGAACAACAACTATAAATGTAGAATAGTACCTGATTGGAAACATTGGTATTAAATATGTACAACATGTTAATTTCCTAAAAATAAAGAATTTGCTATAAATCCTGTTTTGCTGTTTTTCTTTAACGATTTTTCTATTTTAAACCCATTTTCTGCCATTAAATACTTTTATGACATTTTTGAATTTATATGGAAGATCTTTAAAATCTTATGTCTGTGCTTTGAAATGTTAGTCATTCAAACTCCTACACAGGTGCTTATTTTAGCTATGATTTCATTCCTCCCACTGCTCATGAATTATTCATGATTATTCATCTTTCATTCAAACATGATGACTCACCATGCATTATAGTTCGTGCAAGCGGTCACGGAATCGCTGTTTGTTTGGGATGTTCCATGTTTTTGACATTTGAGAACGTTTTGTAATAATTATCTTTGTTGCCGGATGTTGTATATTATCGGCTCAAACATAATCTCGGCTTGTTGAATGACAGGCATCAACATTGAGGGCAGCAAACATGCTTATCCTTTTTATTTTTCAAGATTGAAGATTCAAACGTTTTCATACAATGAAGGAAATAATGACCATTTTAACTTCATTGTACGGTTTTGACAGCATTTGTATATTTTGATATAAGGTTGTAATTTTTATACTCAAAACCAAGGAGGAAATATCAATTTGTTTTGTAGAAAGTAAATGAAATATTTCTAACTGTAAAATTCACAATTTAAAGACTGTTTACAACAATCGATAACTCCGGCTGTCACTCAAACAATATAATAATATTGAAAACAGTAGAACAATAAGTGATATGATTTCAGTCAAGTATAACATGCTCATGAAGTATGACGACCTGACGTGATAAAAAAAAAAATATGTCAATTATAGTTGAACCAACCTAAAAATAGGCCAATCAAACAAAAATGTGCGTGCCAATATTTCAATTGCTTTAGAAATATGTTTTCAAAAAGTAGTTTTGTGCATCGTACCGAAGCTGTTGAAGGCATTTTTTTTTTAAATTTTTTTTTTAAAGTCATCCTAATTGCAGTGTTTGGGGACATTTAATAGGTAAATTGTTATGAATATGGTTATGGCCTCTAAAACCTAACAAGCCTATTATTAAAGGGAAAGTTTTAAGTAGGAATTTTTAAAGTTATATTTTTAGATCTTTGCGTCTACTGAACCCAATGGCCCTTGTGCTTTGCACTGACTGACTGCACTGCCTATAAATACGCCACTGACTATATCTTCGAATTTGTGTTAAATTGTTTTGATCTGTTATGAACTGATATTAAGCTAGATAAAACTTCCTTGTGCACCGGTAGTGTACTTTGAGTAGGTGTCATCATTGTCACTATGTCATTGTCATCACTCAAGTAATGAATACATCACCTGGGATAGGCATCCATATTTTATCAGTTGTTTAAATAAAGATGGTATTAATCCTGTGGGTAAATTGACCTAATAAATCTACTTTTAAATGCCAAGTATTACATACTGACTGACATAAATATAAAATTGAGTCTGTAATTAATAATATAAAAATGTGTTGTACCATACCAAAATACAATTACGATTTTTTTGTAAACACATACACACGTACTCTACATAGGATAGTCACATGGCCCTACCTATCTATTTTTTTCCCTAGATCTGCACCTGTGCAGTATTAGTTACACATTGTAATTTATATTAAAGATGTATTGTCCCTTGCTAATGTAAAAAAAAATCATAAAAATATAATTTTTGAAATAAACTTGTTCATATTGCAATAGCATACAGATTATTAACTTATTACAAATTATTAAAAAATGTGTACCTTGATTTTTAAACCAAAAAATTATAATAAAAATAATAAAACACTTCCAGTGACTGGTAGTGTTTCTATCATTTTTCGCTGTAAACTGATGGGTAGACATTTTTTAAATACACTAATTTCTATGTTCAAGTTTTACTTCAAAATGGGCAAGTTAATTTCAAAAAATATTTTAATGATTTTTTTGGTATTTAGCATGGGACAATACAATCTTTTACTAACATAATAAACTACAGCCCTGGCACTGGTCTAATTATATTTTATATCCGCAAAGGCTGAGCGAAGCAATATGATTTAATTAAAAAAGGTAAAATGTGGGTCAAATTCAGAAGGCGGGGCTTAGGACAACAGAATCCATAAAAATAGGTGATTTAAAACTTGTTTTTCAGAAAAATGCGTTATCTAAAAATAAAAGGAAAGTCACAGATTTGTTTATTATATAATTCTTTATTGTTTTATAACATTTTGAAAGTAACTAGAATTTACCATTTTAATTGGACTTTAAGGAATTCAGAATCAATACAGAATAAGTCTGCTTCATCAACTATATTGTTTTCACGCAAACATCTGCTTTGACTTCTTTGAGTAAAAAAATAGTAATACAACAAATGACTTACAATAGTGACGAAAACTTTAATTTTAACCTGGACTCAACAATAACGTTGGCTTAGAATAATGGATGTATTTAATTCAGTATGAGCATATCAATAAAATTATTGTTCACAATCGATTTTAAAAGAAAATCTAATATTAACATATCATATATTTTGTTGAAGTCAATGTTTACTTTGACGGATATAAAAATATATACAGCTGTTGTCTGGTCAAACACCCATGAAATACCATGACAAAATTATAAATGTCATAAAACGAAAACATAGCAAAAAACCTATTTAGGGGACAATTTTATGATTTTGGTTAGTGTCCCCTGAATAGGGGTGGTAATAATAATAGCGACTTTTTTTAGGGGTAACCCTATTCAGGGAACACCCTTATTAAGGGGACATTTTTTTGGTTCCAAAAGAGTTCTATTGTAATAAGATTTATGAAGATTTATACAAATTTGTCTGCTTAACTTCGAGTATCTACAAACGTATGTAATTTAGCCAAAATGTAGTACACCCAATTAAAATCAATTTTTTTTTTGTCTTTGTTTTTTATGTAGGAACTTAGAAGCTGCACTTAAGGAGTTCACGCCTGATGTTATTGTTTACAATGCAGGTACGGATGTACTGAGGGGTGATAATCTAGGGGCACTTTCCATAACACCAAGGGTAAGTCATTTAATATTTAACACTGCAAAATACAAAATATACCCCCTCCCCTCTAAGTTCTTTCCAGCATCTATATCAAATATTATTTGACAAAAAACTGTTGTTGGCCATATGGTCAAGATGTATGTCATTATGTCAGCTATTGTTTAGTTTTCCACCAATCAGCAGCAAGTTCTCACCTCCCCAGTCATATAAATATTTCCCTGTTTGGACTCTCTGCAGATATTATTCTCCTTGATGCTGATTGAAGCAACTCAATTGAAATGTTGAGACATCCGCAACAAAACAGCAGTTCTTTTCATTTTCAGAACTATATACCGCGGTGTATCACAAGCATACAATTTATTATTATTACTTCGCCATGCAAACCTTCAAACAATATTGTGTCATGATGTTATGTCATCACGGCCATATTTAGACATGTGCTGTAATTACCCACGTACACTTTAAGGAATGCAGACAGCACAGGATTTATTTTTCTTGTGAAATGTCCAATTTGCCACCAGAAGGACCAACTAGTGTCTTATCCTTTTTGAGTTTTTAACACCAAGAAATCCAATATAAATCCATGAGAATTTCTGTGGGATTTGAACTTAGAACATTGCGATTAGAAGTCATGTTCTAAACCAAGTTTCTACTTCTATTCCAGATTTATTTCCAATTAAAAGCGTTTTATAATTGATATTCATTAAAATTAAATCGTTTATAGATTAGTATAACATTCGCTACCTTTGACTTTCTTTGTTTCTGTAGGGTATTGTTGAACGCGATGAGTATGTATTCCAGGCAGCCAAGAGTCGGAAAATCCCCATTGTCATGGTAACATCAGGAGGATATCAACGGAATAATGCCGAAATCATTGCAATGTCGATACTCAATTTGCGAAATAAACAACTCATTAACTGTGATGCAGCAACACAAAACCAAGGTAATGCGAATGATAAAGCATTTATATTTTTACAGGTCTCCCTGTAATTAAGGACCCCTCCAATTAAAGACCACCTCCATTTAAAGACGACGACTTCTGTGATCCCAAATTAAAATATGTTTATATTTATTTATATTTTATCTTTATTATTTTAATTAGAGACCAAAGTTGCTAAAGACCATGGGAACCCCAGTCCTAAAAATGTTCCGTAAGAGACACATTTCCCTAGGTTAGTCATGTGACGTATTGGGTATCAATTGTAATCAGGCAGTGCGAGTAACGCTCAATAATAGGAAAACACGTGGCTCCTTCAGAGCGTTCCCGCTGTAAAGCTCATAATTTGATGTTGAATAATGTTTTGGTTGGAATGCCAGTAACTATACCAAATTGATTGGAAATTAAAATTGAGAGATTTGCCATAATAGTTTGCTAATGCTCCAAAAGATATGACCCACAAACATTGAGATTTTTTTTGAGAAAGGCCTAGGCCCCTGCCTATCTACGGTCTGTTTAGGTGTCCACGAGATACTTCGATTCACGAACTGTGATTTTGACACGCTACAAATACTAGGCTAGCTAAGGTTTACGAAGGGTCAAATAAATTCCAAAGCATACAAAGTACATTGAACTCTAGAATAAGTATATAAACACTATTTTGAACAATCACAGTGCCTTTCCATGCCAGTTACTTCTCGCGTTAATGGTGGGCGGTTGTTTTCGCAACCAAAGCATTACCCTTTCTAATACTTTAACACTGATCGCACTGTAAATTCTCCATAGTAATAGCCACTTTATGTCACATGACGGGCTGTAAATAAACCTCGAGGAATGTGTCTATCAGAGGGAGACCCTGTATTTTGTTTTGTTTATTATTTAGGTAAAACATAACCTTTTATTTTTATTTGCATCCGACCTATAATGATGGTATAAAGCAGAGGTTGTTGTATTTTGTACATCTTATATCCATAGGTAATCATGTTGCAAGCAGTTTGTCTGGGCTTTATTTTTCAGACTGTTGAAAGCTCTTGCCCTAGCATGCTGTACAACCAATGGCAGCTAAACGTGGTAGAGTTGGCAAGCATCAAATTAGTCTGTTACCTAGTTTACAGAAAGATATGCAACTAAGAAATCTCAAATTACAATCTTTGGACGATTTAACAAAACTAAGATATAAAGATAAAGATTGTGATTTTTGGAAAGATATGTTTTTAAGATCTTTAATATTAGAAAATGCTTTTTGTCTGAACTGGACTCTTTATCATTATTTTTCATTTTTGTATACAGTATATAAGAGAAGTCAAGTTATGTTGATATTAAGTTCAAAAGCAGTAATAAATAATAATAAAAGCCTTGTAATGCCAATACTAAGATTTTTTCTTTCTCTTTAGAGAGCTTACTTCGTGCAGTAGGAACTTCAAAGGCAACTGATCCAGTAGCAGAAGAACCTAGACCAGGTCTGTTTTCCCGTTTCTTTCGTGGCTCTCGAGCTCCACAAAAACCACCTTCAAAAGCTTCTCCAACAGCCGAGTGTGCTGCTGAGAATATCGGAACAACTGCAGTCACAGGTGACAGTCAAGAATCACCAGTCGAACAAAAACATGATCTTATAATTCCAGACCCAGAACAACATAATTTAAAAGCATCAGGTGAATACAGAACTACACAAAGAACAGAACTATAAAAGAACACAAGGAATCACCAGCTTTAGAGGAAAACCGTAAAATCCTCTGTGGCAGAACTTCAGAACTCAACATTGCATCATCATAAATCAATAGCTGCAAAGAAGTATCGGACCTCAGCAGTTAAAGAGGATCATCAAAACTCACCAGCTGCAAAGGAACGTCAAAACTCACCAGATGCAGAGGAACATCGGAACTCACCAGCTGCAGAGAAACTACAGAACTCCCCATTCTACAAAAACATCAGAACTCACTAACCGCAGATGAATGTCAAATCTCACCAGTTCTAGAGAAACAATAAAACTCAACAGCTGCAGAAAGACAACTGAACTCACCAGTTTTAGAAGAACATCATAACTCACTCTCAAATGAAAAATCGACAGTGGAAATAGCGTCGGATTCTGTGGATGACAAAGACAGACATGGTGAGGTGAGGATACATCAGAAGATAATACGGAAAAACAGTAGGCTGCAATCGTAAACATATACATTTTAATAAACCATATTAATTTAACAAGTGTTAATATAAATAACATATGATATCCAGTAATAACAATTTACATACTATTTTTAGATTTCAGTAACGTAGGAGAGTGGTGCAGCTTTAACGGTCTGCCCAATTTCCCCTTTTTTTGAGTGAATCCCCATTTTACAGTTACGGTAAATTCTATTTTCTTTTTTTCCAAAACACTTGACCCAGATCGCAGAACCTCCTCTTTCAAATGTGTTAATTAACAATGGTGGTTCATCATTGAAGGTTTTAATGCCATAATGTGCAATATTTTATACTTTTATTTCTTAACTGACCTATTTAACCTTTTCTTTCCTTGATTGTTTTTTACATAATGATTCTAAAATAACCTATATATTTTTTTAAACCTTGATCCACCTTACATATCTTTTGTATCATTTGTAATTTATAGATACAAATTAATGTGTGAACACAACTCTTTGTTTTATTTTCGAAAAATAAAACATTTTGATAGCGGAACCTGTTAATTCTTTCTTTGTTCCCATATACAGTATATCAGTAACCATACTAAATTAATATTGCATTATTTAATATATAAAAATAATAAATTTAGTCACTGAGTATATTAGATTCTGGCTGCTCTTGACTAGACAGTCTTGTTTCCATAAAATATATTTCATGACAGTTGTTTTTATTTTATATTTATAATTATTATTTGTTATAGAAATGATGTGAAATATATTGTTGGTAAATACCTTTTTAAGAATTTGATTATTATTCAAAAATTAAGAACAAAATCAAAGTTCTGTTTATGTTGCAGCACAAATGGTTACAGGTATGTCAGCCTTTATATAAATTTGTATAAATACAATATTATAATACTCATCAAGTGTATTGTGATACTGATCGAGGTGTATCTAGGAACCTCAAAGTGTGGGCTGAAGCAGCTTGTGAAGTTGATGTTATGTGAATGGGAACTAGTGTGCAGAATAAGATAATTCTAACCTACTTGAGTGTAATGTTTTTCCTTTGAATATTCCCAGTGGTTGGGGGGTGGGAATTGGTGCAAGCTTTTTTGGGGGAACCCCACGCACCCCCTTGATACGCCACTGGTTATATACTATCCGGTAGAACTGGTAAAATTATGTACTTAATTAAATGTGTTTATGTGTTTGTAAAGAAGACTACCAATGTATGATATTCCTTGTATAGAATTTTAGATATATTTACTATTAAAAAGTTTTTTTTTTTTAAACAACTACTGGTAGAGTTGGGTAGGTGTTGCATTAACAGTACTATCTTTGTAACAGACAGTATCATCAGTTAGGGTGTGTGAAAGAGTTGCGTAACAAAGGGCCTTTTTCTGTTGAGCAAAGAAACAGTTATTTTTTTAAACGGTTAATAAAAAACATGTGTTTTTTCCACAGCAGAAACGGGCCGAAAACAAAAACATGGTTAGAATTGCATTCAGAAAACACCTGTTTTGTGGTACACTTTTTAGCTGTAGGGCAATATGTGTTAGTCATGACCCGTCGGTGACCCAAATTGACCTCTTCATTGGTTCGATCGTTTGTTCGCGGGAAATTAGTCGGGCCGAAGAAAAAAAAAACGTAACCAAAAGGATGACATGCTTTAGGCTTTACCATAATTTTTTTAATACTGTTACGGTGTGATCAGATCTTTCGCAGCATGCGCTGTAGCTCACAGGTGAGGTAAGGTGAACTTCAACTTCCGTAGGTAATCGTCATTATATGCTCCACTCACCTACCAATGCTCGCGTTACCGTGTTTATATTAGTTGCACTTTTCATTAATAACGTGTTCAGAAGGAAATTACCCGTTTTTAAAAATGCCCAAAGAGGTGTAAGGCGCTCTGGCTAAGGCTTATTAGTGCTCTAATAAACATAAGGAGTTGTGTCTAATAGAACCCTGGTGTAACATAAACTTATTTTTCATGTTTTTGTACACAATTTGCTCCTCAAATATGCACTGCTGCTATGCTGATTTGTGGTGAAAAAAAATGTTGATGAACCTCTCAAGGCCCCTGGTTGTAGCCAGGGAGAGCACATGGGTACTACGACACTGGTGTCGAATTGTAGGTGTCTATAATAAAGAGTTCTATGTAAATAAAATCAGTGCAATGAACAATTATGTGTTTTTATGGGGTGTGTGGGGGAGGGGGCTTGCTGTTTGTTTCAGATTTTAAAAAGTGGCCACCATGGGGGTGGTGTCAAAAAGGACAGTGTTAAAAGCCAGTTTTGAGATCATGATGGTCTTGAGATCAAGTTGATCATGAGATTTAGCAGCTGGAAGGGGAGGGGAGGGGAGACCAGGGGGTTACCAGTCATCATATCGATGTTTAGTCATTCAATGAATAATTGGAAGCACATCTGGTTCTATATAACTATAGACATACCATAAAACCTCAAATAGAAGCCAAATGGGCTTAATCTCGAGAAGAAGCCCATCTGAAATTGAAGGCCCCCCTCCTCTTAGTTTGTAAAAGTAGCCCTTGAAAAGAAACCCATCCAAAGTTTGCAAAAAAAAAGAACAGATAAGGGCTTCTATTCAAGGTTTTACGGTAATTGTATTTTGCCGCGCATAAAATATTGATGACCAGCTAAACTATAGTAATATTATAATACAGTAGTAAATAAAAACATTCTAAATTTTCAGTAAAGTGTTTTAGTTAGGTTTAGTAATTTGCGGGAGTGCTAAAATCTGGAATTTTCCGGGAGAATCATGCGACTCGGGGGGAGACTGGGGGATAATTGTACATCTACGGTGCGGACTGCGTATCCACAAACAGACACAAAAAAATAAGAATAATACTTGTGGTAATAAATTTTTTCTCGTTTTATAGAACAAAACAAAACAAATTATTTACGTAACTAATGTATCAATTTACTTTTTGTGATTTTCAATTGTATATCAAAATATATTTGTAGTTTGTGTTATATTAATTACATTATCATTTATATTTAATACCACTGTAAAAGTATAACAACATATATTATTATGATAAAGGTTTTTAGAACTGGAGTTTATTAAAACACAGTGGCGGATCCAGGAATTCGAAATAGAGGGGGCCCGCCCAGAGAGTCAGTTTGATAGATGGAGGGTCCACGCCTTCTAGATGGCTGGAAATGGCATTCTCAGATGGAAAATTCAATTCAATTTAATTATTTTTGTTTAACAACAAAACATATGAAACATGAGATAGCCAGACAATTAAAATAGTGAAATATTACTGAAGTAAAAGAGACCTTAATGCATTGTTCTTTTCATCATATTTTTTCAATTTTTAATAAAATTATGGGTAGGGAGGACGGACCAGCTTTCTCTCCCCTGCCCCTGAATCTGCCACTGAAACATGTTTTCCATATCCGTGAGATAAAAAGTGGAATCTATTATATGTTCACTGTTTTGTATTAATTGTACTCTGTATTTTGCATCATAGTGTATATGAAATAAACATTAATAATATTGAATGAAGTTTTTGTTTATAACATTTAATCTTCCTTTATAATTAATAAAGTTAGCTAAATACAATGTCTTGTAACCCGGGTACCTACTACTGCTAGCGATTTAATGGAGGTGCTCGAAACGGATTAACTACCATCGATATTTGGCTGACAGACTTGTGTCTGGCTCGCTTAACCAAAAGCCTGCTAGTATTAGCCAACTCTAAACCACCCATAGTATTTCGATTCCATAGGTGCCATGGCTTGAAACAAGTATAATCCAACACATAAGATGAGTCTGCAGAACCAGACTCACAAAAAGTTGAAGTAAAATTCAAGTGAAGAATTCAGATATTGTTTTGTAAAAAGATTTTTCATGTACTGATGTAAACAAAAATGATATCGGAAAACTACATAGTGCTGTAGTTGATGTTGCGCATAGTGAACATTTCTGTAATATGTACTGAGTGCTGGCTCCAGGAATTTGAAATAGAGGCGACTTTGAGAGGATCCAGCTGACTACTACAGCCCCACCATGTTGTGACCTGAGGTACAACATTTTATATCTATTATGCACCTCTAGATGGCCAGAAATGGCACTTTCAAACTTAAATTTTTAATGTAATTTTCTCTTTGTTTTTTCCCATTTTAGTTTAAATTTTATCGGGCCCAGGCTAGCTGGTACATCTTGAATTTGCCTTTAGTAGTTTACAAAATACAAACATTAACATCTGCCTCCACACTCCAACATACCAATCCATACACAATTTAGACTGCCATGCATAAAATATCTGGGGCAGATGCAGACAGTACAATCACACACTTCCCACCCCTAAATTGTAAAATAACTGTTGTATTGTTGATATGAATTACCGGTAAGATTTTAAGGTTGAGATAGCCTGGGTTCCAGGCCCTAATTTTAGGTTACTCACACTTTATTGCACTTAGTGCGCGCCATACCTAATTTAATTGGCGTCTCATTGGTGGCGCTGTCCAGAATGAGAAAAATAATAAAAAATATGAGACTTGTGGCAAGTCCAAGGTTGAGAGTACAACTTTTGGGTAGCTAGAGGTCCATATTATCAGAATTTTCGCACCTCAGCCCCAACCATGGTTGGGGCTGAGATGGTGTGGACTCCCACGCAACCCCTACTGCCAAATCCTACATCTTCTCCAGAATTTGGACACACACTTTATGTGGCAAAGACAAGCCAAACCAGTCACTCATCGGAAAAAAAAAATTGTTAGTTATTAATACAGGGTTAAACAGTTAAATGAGAGCTATAAGGTAAAAGAATCAGTTAAACCCGACATTTTCAAGATTCAAGGTAAAAAAACATGCAGCTGTTTAAAGAACAATTTTTTGAAAAATCAGCCTTCAACGTTTATGATTTTGGGCATTTCTCAGGCAGAAACCAACACCCAAATTGTTAAAAAATTTGTTTTAACATTGAAAATGTGGAAAATAACAGCGTAATATATGATGTATAGATATATAAAGCTCAGTTTAGTGCAATATAACAGATTAAAAAAATTTTGACATTTCAGCATATTTTGGCCATTATCTCTGAAACACGATTTGCGACGAGTGACTGGTTTTGCTTGTCTTTGCCAGATATGTTCCGCACAAAATCTACGCACGTTGACTCACAATTGCAGCTTCTTTGAAATTCAATAATGGAAAGGCCTGTCCAGACTATAAAATTTTATTTAAACAAAAAGGTTAAAGGTTATTCATTTATATTGCGTAAAAAATTGGCATGCCTAAATATGGTCATGATGGCATCACATGACCATGTATAGGCGCATACTGACTATATATGGGCATACAATTTTTTTTAGTGAAAGTTTGATAATCAGGACAGAGCTAAATATGTAGCAAAGACGAGCTAAACCAGTCGCTCGTCGCAAATTCTGTTTCAGAGATAATGGCCAAAACAAGCTGGAATTTTGACATTTTGGAAATCTAGTTTATTGCACTAAACTAACCTTTATGTATTCATATATCATTCTATGCTGTTATTTTCCCCATTTTCAGTATTAAAACAATTTTTAGCGATTTGGTGATGTTTTTTGCCTGAAAAATGCCCAAAATCAATCTTTGAAGGCTGATTTCTCAAATATTGTTCTTTAAAAGAGCTGTATGTTAATAAACTCCTGTATCTTCATAATGAAATGTCGAATTTAAATGATTCTCTTACCATTTGTTAGCTCTCATTTTACTTTTTAACCGTGTATTAATAACTAAAAATCAATTTTTGCGACGAGTAACTGGTTTGGCTTGTCTTGGCCACATACACTTTTTGGTAAATACTTTTATTGAATTATGACATACACATTTGCTAAAATACTTATCTGCAAAGTCAATTTATTTCAAAGTAATTACATTTTATTTTCTATCAACTAAAATACAGGTATTTACAGTAAATTCACGAGGCAAAAATTATTAATAACATTCTTAACGTGATAGAAACTGGACTTGTTATGTTCACTGTACAAGAACAAATGTAAAATTCATACCAACATCAACTGAATATTATGCAAACATTTTTCATTTTCAATTTAATGTTGGTAATTCAGCTAATTTTACGGCCATTAAAATTTCAAAATTTTCCTTCAAGATGTCGTAAAGTTAAGCTATCGGCTACTAGTATTAAATTGTTGGAAATATTGAGCGGTTGGTCTGTTTGTGAACACCTCGTTGTTTAGGTACTCTTGGCTGTGGAAGAGAGAATAAAACAGTAAATAAATTGCGAAAAACTATTTTTTTCATTTCACTAAAATTTAAGGCTCTCTGAAGACAAGTCAAACAAATCACTCCTTGCAAATCGACTTTCAAAGATAATGGCAAAAACATGTTTGAATGTCAAAATTTTGAAATCCCCATTTTTTTTTTTTATGTTAAAACAACATTTTTGGTGATGGTCTCTGCCTGTCTTTGTCTTTGAAGGTTGATTCACAAATTATACTGTACTTCAAGCAGAGTATGTTTAAATTCCTACGACTTTATAATGTAATGTCGGATTTAAATGATTCTCTACCATTTTATAACTTTCATTTTACTGTTTAACCCTGTATTAGTAACTAAAAATTATTTTGGGTGCGAGGAATGAGTGGTTTGGCTTGCCTTGCCTACATATTTATCCATCTTACTGTATGTTTTTTGGTCGATAACCACAAAAAAAAAAAAAAAAAAAAAAAAAAAAGGCTTACTGAGATTTTTGCTCTGCACTCATCCGCCTGTTTTCTTCAGCCTGTCCTTTCTCTAAGGCTTTCCTCAGCCGTTCTTGTTCCCTGTCCATCAGGATCCCAGCTCTGGCATCCGTTAGCCGTTGCTGGTCCCACTCCTTATTCCGTTCAGCTTCCTCTTCTAGGATCCTCTTCTTTTCCTGTTTCTGATAATCTTGCATACGCCGGATCTCCTCTTGCTCCTCCGGTGACATTCCTTTCCATCTGTCGGTGATGACACGATGTGGACCGAAGGCACTCTGCGCCACGTCGGGATTCTCCATCAACATGTCACCGTTCACGTTGTTTACAATTTCTGTGAAATTGTCATCAAGCTCCTGTTGAGCTTTTAAGCGTTCCTTTTCTCTTTGTTCGTCAGCCTGTGTGTAAAATAAAAAGACAATGACACCTCAATTCAAACAAGACGAACTAAAAATGTTGGGTGGCAAGACTTGGAAGTCCTCTCTCCAAATGGAAAAACCACTTAATTGAAATTGGTCTGCCTACCAACGCCATAATTAATTGGAATTAAAGATATGATAGCGCACCGTCCTCGGATGAGACGTTTAAGCCGTTGGTCCTGTGTGCGTTTATGCCTCATGTTCATGTTAAAGAACGCAGTCCACTCTTCGGAAAAGAGTAGGGGATTATGTCCCAGTTTACTTAAGAAAATAAATGTATTTATATTTAATACTTTTTTGTATACAAATTAACTGTTTAGTAATGTTTTATTGCTTCACTCTTCGGATTTTTAATGACCGAATCATTATAACATGTATGAGAATGGGTCACTTGACCCCCCCAG